CGTCTTGCGGTAGTTTTGTGGTCGTCTTGTTTTCGTCTTGTGATCGTCTTGTGGTCGTCTTATGGTCGTTTTGTAATCGTCTTGTGATCGTCTTGTTTTCGTCTTGTGATCGTCTTGTGGTCGTCTTATGGTCTTCTTGTAATCGTCTTGTGATCGTCTTGYTTTCGTCTTGTGATCGTCTTGTGGTCGTCTTATGGTCTTCTTGTTTTCGTCTTGTGATCGTCTTGTGGTCGTCTTATGGTCGTCTTGTAATCGTCTTGTAATCGTCTTGTGGTCGTCTTGTGGTCGTCTTGTGGTCATCTTGTGGTCGACTTTCTACCGACCAGTGGTCGAAAGACTTATATAGGTTGGCTTATATTGAAGTAGCAGAAACAACTGGTCGGACATAATAATGGTAATATCTGGTCGGATGCGGATGTTCCTTTTTACGCATGATCGGTGTGTCAGTTGCAGATATCAATAACAAATATAAAGATGTTTTTCTGTTCTGATACGGAAGTTAGTTTGTAAGAATGGTCGGTGTACCAGTTGCAGATATCAATAACAAATATAAAGATGTTTTTCTGTTCTGATACGGAAGTTGGTTTGTAAGAATGGTCGGTGTGTCAGTTTGGTCGGAAGCAAGCGGGCTTCTTTGAAGTAAGAATTTCCTTTACGCAAAAGGAAATGGAATGGCAGGGATACGATAAGCAAGACTCCAGGAGTTAATGTTCTAACTAAGATTTTTTAAATCAGTCAGCTTTCGGAAAAAGTAGTACTTCCTTACCGCCATGGTCTTTAGAAACCACAATCTTAAAAGTTTGTTTGTTTTCTCTCAGAATACAACATGAAGATCGCTATCCAAATCTTAGTTTTGGTCATCGCATTTCCTTACGTTGGAGCGGCTCTGTCGTGTCCAACTAATTGCACCGCTGAGGCGTGCCACAATCCTGCAAATTGCACGGGCAGTATGGTGCTGGATGAGTGCAAATGTTGCAAAAGGTGCGCGAAACGCGAGGGAGAAACTTGTGGAGGGAAATTTAACATCCATGGTCCTTGTGACGAGGGTTTGAACTGTGTTGTGACGAAGAAGCTCTCGAACACTGGGATTTGTCAACGAGGTGAGTACGAAAGAAAAGTAGATGAAGTAAACTACTTTACGCTATAAGGAAAACCAGAGAACACCCCTCAAAAAAGCACAGGAAAAAGTCAACAATCCCGTTCACATATGCTGGAAAGAATCCACGACCTCAAGAGTAAGCTATTTTCTCTGATTCTGAGTTCGTTTCCTTGCTTCACAGCTCCCGAGGAAGATTTATGCAAGAAGAAAAAATGTGGTTTCAGACAACAGTGTACAACAGACAAGCAAGGCAAAGCAGTGTGCATTTGTCCCAGAAACTGCAGAGAGAGTAAAGGACGACCAGTGTGTGGTTACAAGAACGGCAAACAGTACAAAAATCCATGTGAGCTTTACAGACATGAATGTCGGACGGGGAAAGAAATTGGCCGATTTAATGGACCTTGCAAAAGTAAGGAAGCCAGAAGGATTGGACTATTAGTCAAACTATATCCGTCCTGATTGGCGATGTATTTATAGGTCTATAAGTTAAGAGGAAATTTTTTTCAATAACGAGCAATAATGGCAAAAAGCGCCAAAAGCTAGACTTTCGTATGAGTTTTGATCCCAATTTTCGTTTTGGGTTAACACTCAAAACCTTTTTTGAACAATTAGAAACTGATGTACTATAATAAAATGCCTGTTTGAAGCAGTAATTTCAATTGTACAAAGATATTTTGCTGCATTTGTGTTAGAATGTTGCTTTGTCAGGCTTTTTTATAGAAAATATATGGGAAATAAGCAAATGAAGGCCTAAACCTCATTTTCGAATAAAATTTTTGCTTTGGGTTAACACTTTGATTCCACTTTAATCGGTCATCTCCACTTCCAAACAAGTTAAACTTTCTGAATAACAAGATTTTAGATTTTCGGAAAATAGTGATTATCAGAAGAATGTGCGCATTTTGCACTAGGCATCTTCTCATTGCATTACAAGAACAATTTATTGATTTTTCAGGGTGTTTTCATCATGGCAAACCCTACAGACTTGGAGAAGCGAGAAGAGGACACGCACCATGCGAGAAATGGTAAGAGGAATTTGGAGCCGGATTAACCTTAGAGCAACTGATATTTTACTAAGGATCGTATAGCTGTAGTCGAAGTCGTGCGACGATTCGCTTCGTGATACTTGTGAATGAAATTTTACGTAGAGTTCCATATGGTGTACGCTTTATATTCGTGTACACCTATCGAACACAATGAGCTTTTATTGGGTAGTTTTAAATTTGATAAATCAGAAGAATAATTTAACAATGGAAAAAGCATGTTATAATCCGTGAAACTGTGAAGTTTGAAGGAACTAAGTTCAAAACTCGCGAAGATATGATTTTTGAAAATTGTAAATTTTGTGAAACAAACTTTGCTTGAGGGAGAATCTGATGTCTCAAACGATTGTTTTCATAACAAATGTCGATTTTTGAAAATTCATATCTTTGCAATTTTTGAACTTACCTCCTTCAAACTTCATGGTTTAACTAATTTTAGCATGCGCTTTCCAGCTATTATAATTATTCTTCTGACCTACATGAATTACATGATAGAATTACATGATACGAAGCGCATTCAAAGAACACGCCGTCACAATGAATACAGAGGCGTCAACAACTTATGTTTTTATCAAGTTGTCAACTACAAGGGATTAGTACCAGAAACATCAAACTATACTTTGGAACAAACCACAAGACCCAGAGGTCAAGAGTAATAAATATAGCATATAACGTCTTTATATAGTCAACAGTGCTTTCAAAACAACCACTCAGCCAGACGTCGCACTCGATAATTTTTATCGTAAAAAATAAAATCATTTGATTAAGAAAACAAACACAAAAATATTGCAGCGCAACCGTGACGTCATAAAAACGAAGACAAAGGTGAAATTCGGACAAACAAACTTACAAGTTTACTTTCAGCAGATAATTTTCACAGCCGATCGCAGTTGATCTTAGTTTACATGGGTTTTTATTGTAACTTTAAGTAAAAATAATAAAATCGGTTCGTACAATCTTCGTAGCGGTTAAACAGAATTCAATGTTTGTCCGAATCTTTAAGCTATTTTTAGAATTAGCGCGCTGTGCTATTGCTGGACGTTTCGATGACGGACACGTTAAAACGTTAGCAAATATTTTGATTCCCACTCAGTTTTCATCATCTTCAAACGAGCACGCATGACACTGTCACTAACAACTGCGGAAGTATACTTTGAAATATAGGTAGTGCGTGTACTTACGACTAGTGCTTAATATTTAAAGGAATGAAGGCACGAGTTGGAATTTTTGATTTTGGTTGCCCGAGTAAATCGATACAACAGACACTTGATGCCGAAAGTAGCCCGAGTAAACTACAAGTACAGTATAAGTATAATGTTCGTAGTCGCTATCTCGTGAGACAAAGCACTAGACGTTTACATAAAAGCAGGGGCAATGCTCGGAACTACCTAAAATTCTGGAACTCTTTTTTTTTTTAGTTTTTTTTTTTAATTATAAGGTTTTTAAAAATTTGCACTCAATGAAGTATGCTATGTTTACAGTGTTTGTTACCATGGTGACTGGAAATGCAATACCAAGAAGCATTGTCAAGACAGGATCGATTTCTGTACAGTCTTCAACGACCCTAAAGGGGGTCTTATTTCGACGTGTCCCCCTGGGTACTGGTGCAAGGTACAAATCCCAAGCATACCCGAGCAGAATATTCCTGGTGTTGGACGATGTGTGCCTACGAAATCTGATGGTATGCTTTGATTGGTTGAGCAGCGATCTCGCGCCCTCTGATTGGTTCAATGTGCGTTGTCATTTCCGTGCCGTGCCGCGTACCGTGATTTTTCACAATGACACAAAAACTTTACTAGAAGGAAATTTTTCCTTAAATGTTCACTTGCTTTTGCGCGGAGCCGTATTTTTAAAATAGTTCGAACGTTTGAATTGATTACTAGCCGGTTTTCGTACGAGCTGGAAGTGATATCGCAAATTTTCTTATACGTATTATAGCCGTAACTACACGTCGTGATTGGACGAATTGCTGGAAGACAATGGGAAGCCATTTCAATGTTGCAGCCGCATGTTTTTAAAAATAAAAATATTCATAACATTACTCACCATTGCCATTAGATTCGTCTTATTCCTTATCCCACTTCTCGTTCACTTTTCTTCTTTCTCAGACGCGAACTCTTCCATTGACATCACGTCTCCTAGCAACGTCTCCACGACAGTAGTTACCAAGCCCAAAACAGGTTTGTTCTGGATTGACACCATCCACGTGATGTTTTCGCTCGTTATATGGAAACCCGAGGGTTGCGCAACCTCTGAGGTCTTGTTTTGATTATTGTACTTGTTAGGTCTCTCCTTGATATAAGAGGTTTTCCCCGGGTTTAAAATTGTTCTTCCATCCACAAAACCTTACACGCTAAATTCCAGTTCGATCTTCGAGTTAGCCATGCCCTGACTTTGACTTCTTGTTCTTCTCATTTAGGTGATGGCGTCATGAATCCTTGCGACCTCCCGCTTCAAGTTGGTCCGTGTCGAGCATCAATATCCAAGTGGTACTACAACAAGAGTCGTCGAAAGTGCATGAAGTTTATCTTCGGCGGCTGCGGTGCTAATGCGAATAACTTCCCAACCAAGTCGAGCTGTCGCATCAAGTGCATGCGCAGAAGAGGTACGTCAAGGCGTGAATGAATGTGGCATCGTGTGGGATACGTTTTGTATTTCTTTTTCGTTTCTATCCATTCCTGTTCAGATAATTAAAATCACATAGCCGTGGCAGACCCGTTCGTTTGCCTAAAGCGAACGAGAATGTATCTTAATTTGTTGGAACAGACCAGGGCAAATCGTACAATTTGCCTTCGCGACGAAATAGAATTTTGTTGGACGTCAATCAAAGTGTTTCCATGACATTGTCAGAAAATACAAAGTTTCAAAAGCATGTACTGTAACTATGTAGTCATAGAAATGATTAATGTCCTCAAAAAGCTACATTGTCGCGACGACGATTCCGCACGAGCTATCGAGCAGTACTGTAATTATTTAAATTTGAATTCGACGCAAATGATGACTATAATGTCAAAGGTAACGCGCCTCCTTAATTACGCCAAATTAACTGTTGTTGTGCATTTTTTTGTAGGTCAGTTGGTCAAATCTACAGCATCCACTAAACCAACCAAACCTACTACAACCATTAAAACAACAACACAACCAAAAACAACAGGTAAATAACGACACTTTTAACATGGAGAAACCGCGTGGATGACGGCGTTTGATAATTGAATCGTTTTGTATTTTGACAGAAGGAAGTCGTAACATGACAGCGATGTGTAACCTCCCACCAGCTCCAGGTCCATGCCGTGCCGCCATGCCTCAGTGGTTCTACAACCCCAAGAAACAACGCTGTATGCGGTTTATTTTTGGTGGCTGTGGAGGCAACGAGAATAACTTCGATACGAAGGACGAGTGCAAAAAAGCGTGCATGCGCAATAAAGGTAAAGACCGCTGGTCACTTAGAGTGCGGTTGGAACACTACCACAAGATGCTCGTTGTGACAAAAATGAAAACGTCCATGAGAAAAAGAAAGAGAGTCCGTGCGAGAAGCGGGAAGAAAAAAATGACACAAAGAGGCAAATAGTGCCTCTTTAACACAAATTAGATGTATAGTTTCGTCTCCATCTACAAATCCGGCCTAACACGTAGGAACTAAAGGAACCGGACGGTGCGACTGTTACGCTCAGCCTTGCAAGCACCCACGAAATGGCGCCATGCGTCTACTTCTGCAACTGTTAACTTTTCTGCACGCATTAAAAAAACACGACTTTTCCAATAGACTGGGCGCAGCTTAACGCAACTGTGGTTAACCGGAGTTAAAGTCAGGCTGTACGCAGGCTAATTATCTGTGTACAGCTCGCCGAAATTTTATAGTTGTTTTATAATTGTGTTGCAGGAAAAGTAGTTATAGTACAACTCGCTCGAAAACTGTCTCCAGTATTGTTGCGCGCAACAGTTGCACCGTGTTTCTAAGACATATTATGTTATAGTGGGTATTAACAAGAGAGTATGAAGTTGGTATTAACGAACTATCTGGTATTTGAGTTCATTTGTTATGCGTTTTCACAGATGTAAAGATTTAGTTTTAAGACGAAAATGGTTTWAAAAAGTTTATAGTTTAAAATGTATGTTTTTATATTTGATTTGACGACATGGTGATTCAGTCATCAGTGATGTTATATATACTTACATTAAATCAGAAGATAATCATTATCATTATCATGCATCGTCATTACCATTATTAGTCATCATTATCACCATATAGTCACAAACATCACCACAATTACCGTCATCATCATCGAAACACAATCACCTACACCATCATCATCACCATCATCATCATCACCACCACAATCATCATCACTATCACGCACCACTGTCAGTGTTTATCACACTATCATCATTATCACCAACATCATTATCATCATCATCGTCACCATCACGCACAATTATTGTTAGTGTTTATCACGCACACATCATCATCATCTGCACATTCATTATCTTCATATTAGAGGCGTTACTGTTCAACAGGCTGTTCCTAAGGAACAACAATGTAATTGTTTAACGAAGCACAAATCAAGTAATAAACATTTGTCTTGATCTCTCTGATTTTCTTTGTTTCTCTGCAGGCACTAAGCCATCATCCCTCACCGAATCTTCTACCAGAATGAGCTCAGGTGAGATTACTTTATCGATTCTTTTTTCGGTTTAACTAACAATTTTAGAAAAATACCGCAGTATTTAAGTTTTCAATGTCGTGCATGAATCTCACCTGAGTCCATGTGCCCCGCCGTCCCATACGTTAAAACCCCGTGTAACATGGAGCGTAATGTGGAGCGGTTTGTCTTACCGGTGGTAAAAAATAAGGCAAATTTGTTGCTACATGGTGTGATGAATGAATAGAGGTTTTGCACCATCACGTGACGGCAGCCATGTTAAATGGCTGGAACAATACAATCGTTTTACATGAGAAAGGATTCAATTCCCAAGAGCAGCCCAAGCTGTATTATGAGCAAGGGCACGTGATGGTGCAAAACCTCTATAGTCCCTTTCACAGTTCCCTGCGCCATCTTGAAAGGTACCGTACCTTTGCATCGATGCGAGAAGAAGCCTGAGTTTGCAATGATAGAGACCTATTTTAACACCTTGAACAATTAGTCAAGCGCAAAAACGGGAAGATTGACTTCCTGCACGCGTTCCACTAAAAACACACGGGATGCTGTGACAAAGTCTTCGTTCATTATTCTTACGCGTGTGTGGCAAGGTTCAAGGTAATGCTGTGTAGGGTGGAACAGGGTCCAGCATGGCACAGTGCACTGCGTCTAGGTCAAAATGACGATGACAATGCTGTTCCAGAAACTTTAACAAGGCGACGCAAACGACGTACGACATTCAATTTAAAATTTAAAATTTGAATTTCAAATTTACTTGTAACTTAGTAAAGCGGACACCTTCAGAGCTTTATCCGGTGTCCACTGAATAGAGGTTCGTTTTGGAAGAAAATGTTGGGACTCATACAGCTGTGCGCATAATAAAGGGTCCGCTTAGTAGAGGTACAACTGTATTTCTGAAATAGGCAGTAGGATCTCCTCTCATGCCACTTCATGGCAATAGAAGTGATCGAAAACGATTTTTCCTTTCAAATTAGATTCAGAGTCAACAACCAGGACTAGTCCGACGAGTCAGATTACCGAACCATCTACCAACACAACACAAAACAATACAATTCCAACTAGTACAACACCGACCAACCCAACAACAAGGGGTCCGACAACCAAAAGAGGTACTCCACAGTCCACACCAGAAACAAAATTATTCAGTTGCCCGTGCTCTGAGTGTCCAGTGACGACAGGAGAAGAAACCTGTGAGACGCATTATGGGTGTTTTACATCACAGATACAACACACGGACGGATCTCAGACGGTTAAGTATGGCTGCCTTGAGAACGAGGAACATTATACTATTGTGTGTAATGTTAGATCGCCTGATGAGAAACAGCCTAAGATGCTGTTGGAGTGCTGTAAGGGACATATGTGTAATCAGCCTGAAGTCAGAGGAAGGACAGACGTCAGGCAATCTCTGCGTAAGTGATGAAATAATCGTATAGGGATGTGATTCTTAAAGTCCTTTATGTTTGTGGAGGGAAGGAGGGAGGGAGGGAGAGAGGAAGGAAGGAAAGAAAGAAAGGAAGGAAGGAAGAGGGAAAACACTCTAATAATCCCAACGAACATAACAATCTCCTAGTAACACGACACTGACAAAACATGGATCCTATTTTCGCTCACCCTTCTCGACAAAAATAAGGTCAGACAACCAAAGCACCTTTTCAAACAATTTGAAATAAAATACTGTTATTTTCCATCTCCGTAAATACATTAAGTGCTCTTCCACTCAAAGTAATTAGTTAAATGGACTTAAGCGCCTTAAAAATGGTCGCACACCTTTCATCTCCGAATCTTTTTGTTTTCAGCGAAGACGTCAACAACACCCACTCAAGCCACTGTTGGTAAGTTCAGTTAGTCTAATAAACACTTAGATGCTTTAAGTCTTCTTCCTTAGTTTTAAGTATCATGAAGAGTCGATCCTTAAAACAGGAGACAAAATTAAAGTCCTATATTGGATAATAGACACTGAATGTCGTGTCCGCTCAACGACACACTGACACAGATCGAAATGTTATCTCTCGCTGGAAACGTAGTTGTAGATTTTGAGGAAAACAAATTGCACTTCTACAAGTCGTGAGATCGGCAAAACGTTTCGAGGAAAAGCTTTAAATGGTTGACCTTTCTATAGTGCAGGCCTAGAGATCTTTTTTAGCTTGGGCATAACGTTTTCCCATTTCAGACATGTATGTTATTCTCTATAGAATAAGATTTTTTGTTCAAGTTTTAATCATATTTATGTGTCTTCTCATGCGCAAAAATTAAGCAAGAAAACAAGGCTCTTTTACCTCGGGACTTTCACTGTACGATTCTTGATCTTCTATTTTGTAGTGAAGAAAAAAGTTTCGAGTGAAATCCCTCGCTGTTTCGATGCGCACAGCAGTAAGTTCTATGGAGAAAACGAGGAATGGAAGCCAAACGATTGTACCGTGTGTGCGTGTCATGGAGGCCAGCCTGAGTGCGTAGCAACCGTCTGTAGACATCCCAACTGCGTGGATCCGATACGAGTCAAAGGACAATGTTGTCCCGTGTGCGCGGCCAAGGGGAATACCACTGAAGACTCCCAGGGTAAGAAAACTATAGATTGATCTGTTCTTGCCTTGTGCTTCAAGTTTGTAGCCTCAAACTCTTAGATCCTTTCCAGTCATGTACCAAGAATTCATTTGTGCGTTCTTGTTATTTACAGATATGATCAAAGCACTTGCCCAAAGTGAGCTTACAACTGTATTAGGTAAGGAGTTATAAGCCGTATTGTTGTCTTTTAAAAACCTTTTTTAGCTGAGCACGTGATGCCACGCCCTTTTCTTTGGGTCCATTAATGTTGTCCAACTAAGCTGGGCTTCCCCAACCAAGAACGTGTTTCGATACCAACTCGTTCTATATCCTTTGAACTTTGGTTTCACACTTTACTTTCAGTCAGCATCAAGAAAGACAAGGACAAGCGGTTCTGCGAGGACATGAACTCTGGCGAGCTATACATGGTGGGGCAGAACTGGAAGGTAGATGATTGTACCACGTGTTACTGTCAGAGGGATGGTAAAATAGCCTGTGCTGTACAGATGTGTAATGGGTATCCTGGATGTCCGAATCCAGTCAAGGAGAAAGGGCACTGCTGTCCAGTCTGTCCGGAAGAACCGGAAGAAGAGTTGGTTTCCTCAGAGAATGAAGGTATTGGGAATCAAAGGTGGTGTAGGGGTAGTACACTCRACTCTCATCTCAGTGGTCTAGGGTTCAATTCCTGGAGTCTGCAAGGGTTTTTCTCCAGGTTCAGCGGTTTTCCTTCTGCAAAACTCAACAAGCTAAATTCCAACCAACTAGTGATAATGAGCAGCGTTTATTGGTCTCGAGTGTGTTTTTTCCTCGGGCTTTTCCATTTTTATTTGCTCCGCAAAACCCAACACTCCAATTCCAATTTTCAATTCCAATTCAACCTGTACGTTAGCCGTACCCTGACTTAGATCAGCATAGAGGTTGTTTCAGAGTATCGATAAAATTGATGGCAATGAGCATACAGCATTTGCATTATTAACCAATAATAGCATTATATGCTGCTTAAGACCAAGGAAAAAAATATTGCGAGAAAGGAAAAGTTCTTTATCAAGTGTGATTAAACTATACTTTTTGTGTATTTCAGTGATCAACTCGCCGCACTCATGCCTTGACTCAGTGACAAGAGATCACTACAGACTTGGCGAGATGTGGCAACAGGACGACTGCACAGCCTGTACCTGCAGAACAGGCAGAAAGAGTCACTGTCGAAAAAGCATGTGCAAGACGCCGACCTGTGCAAAGACCATTCACTTGAAGGGACGATGCTGTCCTGCTTGTGAGAAGGACGCTAAATCTGGTATGTTTCAGATAACCATACAGTTATTATTTATTCTTGCTATTGCACGTGTCACCATTAAAGTTATGTTATGTGTTATGAACAGGGTTTAAAATAACGGCCGAAGATCGAACAATGTCCGGCCAGAACGAGGACTTGTCCGGTCAAATCTTTACCTTGCCGGTCATTTTGACCAGTTATGTTTAGATAGAAATAAGTTATGACTAAGCTAAAACTAATTTGCCCTGTGATCATGAATGGCGACTCATCTGCCATTATTTTAAGCCCTGACGACGATTTTTTATTCATGACCTTACACTAAGGGTGGTGCTGTATGATTAGATACAAAGTCCCCTTTCGACGTACATAGCATGCCTCTTGCACAATGGACCAATGTTTAACTAAGTGAGCCAATTGTGTAGCGATTCCTCGATAGTGCGCACAGCATCGTTTATAACTCATCTTAATGATCCTTCATTACTTGTTTGACATCAAGGTTGCGTATTCGAGGGTCAGAAATATCTTCCAGGTGAATACAAAGTGTTGGCTGATCACTGCACGTTATGGTAAGTACCTTTGCAGACCTCCAATGACTACTTAGACGACTCTGGCTATATAAGATATCGGGCGCATCTAGGGGAGATTCGCTGGGGTGCCTGTTACCATGTAATGTTGTCTTCCAATGCTTTAGACTACTTAGACTCTGGCTATATTAGATATTGGATGTTGGGCGCATCAAGGGGAGGTTCACTGGAGGTGCCTGTTACTATTTTATTCTGTCCAGAAGATCGTCGAAAATCTGCGAATGTAGAGACAACAATTGCCTCTAATGTGGATCTCAAAATGACTGGACCGGTTATACTACGTATACAATGCTGGAATATAACTCTCTTGCTTACATATTATCATCAACAGCGAATGTAAAAATCTGGAATGGCACTGTTCAACAAGGAAGTGTCGGAAAAATCTCAACCGAGGTGAGTTTTGGCTTGCATGATTTGCAGGATGAAATGGATTCACCATTCATCATCAGCATCAGTAGCATTATCAACACAATCATCGTCATTATCACAATGCATCATTTACATTCAAACATCATTATACATTAACATTTTCAACATCATCATCATCACCATCATCGATCACCATCATCACCATCATTGTCATTCACATTATACATCATCAACATCATTATTATACATTAACATCTTTAACATCATCATCCTCATCATCATCATGCATGAACATCATCATTGCCATCATCACCAGCAGCAGTAATCATCATCATCATCATCACTGATCATCATCATTATGCACGAACATCATCATCATCATTTACATTGATGACATTATCATTTCTGTTAACAATTTTTTTCAATCTTTCTCCAGGAGGCTAGCCTATGTTGCCCACTGATACAGAATACTCTTGTGAATAGTAACATCTTAAAAAGACAAATCGACAAAAGGTTCAACTTCAGCTGTAGCCAACCAAGGAAACAGATAATGACACATCTCTCACTACCATTCATTATCTCTGAACCTCTTATATGCGGAAAATTTAGAAACATTTTTACAAGCCAGTCGTAAATTTGATAAAATTTTAGGCCATGATAAACTGCTAGCAGCCCCTAACAAGACCCTTGAAATTGCCGACCAAAACAAAACTAGATAAGAATCAAGGCCTTGTTTGTATGAAAGCAAAAGTGTCTCCAGAGATAAAGAAACCAATAACTAGTACTTCAACAGAGTCAAAGGAAAGTGGTGCAGTTAAAGTCCAAAAGAAAGATTGTACTAGGTAGTAAGATTAAAGACAATTCTTCAAGGGAGTTTTGAATTCAAGAAAAATGGGTGTGCACAACCACCTCAGTATTGTAGGGCTTAATTTAGGGTGTACCCCTATTCAGTCCCAGAATTCCAAACTGTCTGAATTGATTCCTCCAGTCTTTCTTTTAACTTCAAAAAGACAAATGATATGCCATAAGATACTTAATATTTTATCCACTGTCTGAAGAGTAATAATACTAAGTTCTAATATAAAGTATTTTTATCAAGATATATCTATGAATGCATGAAAAAAGGTGTTACYGTTAGTTGTTCGTTTACTTAAAAAGCAGTGTCCTAACTTAGTCTAGTATCCAAGACCTAGTAGTAAATGTAAAAACGTAAATGAATGTTCATTTTACTGGCGCTAAATTGATTATGAACCGAATAAATGCTGATAAGTAGTTGATGGCATAATAGGCATACTACAGATATTAATCAAGTTTGGTGCGAGGCTTTCATGATTGACCAGAAACCAAATAAATACCAATATTTTTAGCAGAAGTCAAAATCTCACGTTCCTATAGTTTGATGCACCAAAATATCTTAAAAAGTGCACCAAAAGAAGACTGAGCTTAATCTGGAGGCTTTCGTAAAGATAAAAAATAATTTACAGTTATTAACCTTCCCGAAATAAGAAAGAGATTATTTGTACTGAATTCTTGTACCACATTTGTAAACAAGAAATATAAAAGACTATATTAAAAAAAAAAACTAAAAATATTACAAAAAGCAACTTTACAATGGATTACAAAAAAACTGTACAATGTTGACATTACAATAAAAAACATGTTTAAATAGTATTAGTACTACTATGGCTGAAAGTTTTGCAGAAACACCTTTGGCCCCGTCCGGTTATTTTTTTTTTTTTTATTTTTTCATTCCATTTTCGAAAAAATTCTTATCCACACGGAGCATTTTTGAATTGTTTTCCTCTGTCCACATTTTTCAAAAAGTTCAATTTGCAAGTTTAATCTGCAAAGAAAAATTCTGTTTTCAAAAATATCTGGAAACCTGTGGCAGATGATGCCTGAAAAGGAGTGAATACCAATGGAGTGTCTTTCTTC